CGAAGTAGCTGGTAGTTTGATTTTGTTTGACTGGGCTGTCGATCTAGGACGTTTCATACCTCAGGACTTGACGTAGCTCTTAGGAGGTATAACCTGTCTCTTGTCAGTCACATGAGGTCTCATTTCCAGATGAAACTCAATATCTTGCAGGTAGGCCTGGATGTCGTGGCCGTCTGTGGAGTTCGGGTTGAACTTGCTGATGTTTTTAGACAGCTTGCTGAGGTCTTTGATGGTCATCCCATGTGCAGCTCCGAGGTCTGCTTGGATGGGTAGCTCCGTTCAGCTAACGGTGACTGAGATTCCCTGTCGGGAGTATAGCTATTGAATGGCACTGGAACACGCAATGACATCAGTTCATAAATAAACAAGGCATTACAGAAAAATGAGGACCACGCTCAATTTTGACCTTATTGTACGATCTCAGATGTTAACTTTAAGTTCACTTACTGCAGTTTAACAATGGAGAGGCGGACTCGAGTTACAGCCTTCTCTGCATTCATTCATCAAGCGTTCATTCATTCAAGCGGCCGTGCGCTACTTACGTCACACACACAGTCTCGACTCAGAAGCATCTCATCTTTCATCCGCAGCAATAGAAAAGATGAAATAACTTGGTTTATGCTCACAATTTAGATTAAACTTCCCGCATTCTCCACCAATATATGTAAGGGAAACAGGTAAATTTAGCTCAAAGGGAATAGTTTATGTTACCTGCCACAGTGTTTTCCTCTTTGAGTGTGTCTTAAAAGCGATGAGGAGGTGGGGAGGGGAGCTGAATCTTATCACTCAGCATGCCCGGTTAAAAAAGTCACTGATCGCCACTGGTATACAGTACTGTTATAAATATGATTGTGCCAAAAGTAATAAACTAATAAAATGTAAGAACAATATAACAACATGCTTAAGAAATATTATATGCTTTCCATCATCTAAATAACCATAGAGTTTTGAAAATGTTTTGAAAGAATGGTAAAAACATTTTCATTGATAAAAAATTATGCATATATAACAGTAAAAGTTAAGCAGACTTTTTTACATTTTACAATCCTGCATGGAGTCAACATGGCATTCTAAAGTAAAAAAAAAAAAAAAAGACAAAAGACAAATAAGGCAAGAACATACCACAGTGGTTTCAGCATTTAACAGACATCCATAACAAACAAGATACAGAGTTATATGCAAAGTCAGCAAACGGCATTCGAGGATTGGTGAGGCCTTCCGCTGCATACATATGGTATACCTTTGTAGAGCAGTAAAAGTACTTCACATTCCCAGACTGATAAAAAAAAATTAATGGAGGAGCCATCACCAAGGTAACGTGACTTTGGCTGGCCACAAGCAAGACAGTTCCGTGTCCTCTTTGTAACAGACTGCTCTTGCTGTTGCTGCTGCTTCTCCACAATCTCTTTCACCATTTGTTCAATCTCACCCTTAGTTAGCGGAAACTCCTGGGGCTTATTACTGGGTGGGTTCACTGGGGCAGGTGAACTAGAGACTGCATGTGATGTCGGCAGAACTGTATGGAACACAAAATAAAGGAAATGGATATATATGTGTGTGTGTGTATAAACACTGATTGCACATGATGTGTATTTAACGGTCTTTACCTTTTTTGGTCAAGTAGCTGGGAACAGGGGCTTCAGTCAGTGCAGACGGCATTGGTGCAGGTGTTGATTGTGTTGCTGCAGGTGGTACAGAGCCTTCACCCCGTGAAGAAGGCCTACACACAGGAACTGATGTTGATGGAGGCTGTGGCAGACCTGCATGGAACAGCACAGGGAGGAAATTAAAAATATATTAAAACACTGAATGTACATGATGTGTATTTAATTGTCTTGACTACATTAAATGACTCATTTAATGTAACTCATGAATCGTTGTTTATTCTATCATCATTCTATTTATTCTAGTAATGCAAATTCTAATAATGTTCAAAAGTCTGTA